ATTTTGACAATATATGTTCTCCTTTTCTTCCAATGCCTGGTGTTGGATTATTCCTGGGGTCACTATACTACAGAGTATAGTACTGATGATATTAATGTTGCCCCTTGGCAACTAACCTTGTTTCCTCCAATAATAACTAGGAAAAGACTAGGTAATGACTTAACGTCCTCATTAACCACTGGCCTTGGAGATTTGTGTGATGATCATAAGTTTAATTGAAGGAATCTCAGAAATTGAAGCATTGTGCACTGCTTGAAACTTACTCTCTAAATACCTTTAGGAGCATACGTAAGATTGCTGCCAATGCATATATCCAACTTTCTGATATTTTTGCTGCCTCACATAATTAGTTACTTGAAAAAAAAAAACCCTGTCATTAACTTTGGCTCTAAATTGTGGCAGTATATTAATGTGGTTGACTTTCAAGATGTAACAGAATTGTTTCAATAGCACATGTATCTCTGTATCTCTGCTTTCATTGCATGCATACCAGCTTCACCATGATTTCTGGGATAGAATGACACAAGACTTTTTATATGTTAGGAAAATGTGAATTTTCAAAATCTGTCCATTTTGTTTAAATCTGCCCCTGCCTTATTTAGCAAATTCTAGTGAATAAATCATGTTCTTAATAAGCAATCATTGGATTTAGCAGGCCTGCGATTTTGGTATCCTTATACGCAAAGTAGAATTTTATGGGTTTTTTGTTTCTGTTGTTGCTTCAAGCAGCCTGTATAAGAGGTACCAGCTCTTGCCCCATCTTGTTTGAGGATTTTTCTGTAAGTACACAACAAGGCAGTTCCACAACCTCTTATAACTCATGAAATTAGTCTTTGGCCGAAGAAGAAGAAAGTACAGAACGCCATTTATGCTTTCTAGTTGTGTCCATTTCACTGTGCCATAATTACCATGTGAACACACACCTGTGTGAGTGTGACCGAAGCTTTGAATGCTTGCAGCTCCTCAGACACCCTTCACCATGCTTGTTCCATTGTCAACCACAGTTAGCTGTCACTGTTTGTTGCTTTCCACTCTATATTTCTTCATCTGGGCTCACCATGTGAGTGTGAGAGACCAGGAACTCTTCCAATAAGAGAATAAAGCAAGAGCAGGATTGAATGGATTGTTAAGGAAGTGTGCTGTTTGTTTGAACAAGTGAGCAGGAAAAGGGGCACAGGGAGAGAGAGAGAAAGAGAGAATCTTAAGCAGGCTCCACACTCAGTAAGGAGCTGGATGTGGGGCTCAGTCCCACAAACCATGAGATCATGACCTGAGTGGAAATGAGGAGTCGGACCCTCAACTGACTGAGCCACCCAGGGGTCCCTGTGCTGTTTTATTTAAAGGAGGCCTTCATGTCCGAGTGTCTGATGCACACAATAGAGCAGTGGCACATTTGGTAATATCACCATTGTTTTTGTGTGTGTTGCAGTATGAGTGAGGAAGAAGAATGTTGGTAAACTGTTTTCCAAAAGCACTCTTGATGCCAGGATTCATAATTTCCACAAACCTGAACACTCTTTGATCTTCAGGGACAGGAGTAGACAGATTGGCATTCTTTTGTAGACATTTGAACAAGCTTATTTTTCAAAGTTGGCCTCTATATTACTTATTTATTACAATTTTAAAAGTGTATTTTTGAAGTTGGATTACCGTAAGCAAAACATGTTTTTGGTATCTCTTTTTCCTCAAGCATTTTCTTCTTTGTATTTTGTATGTGTGTCTTTTGTATGAATCAGAGATGACTTCATGGATGTCATTGTGATTTTATAGATTTTCCTATTCTTAAAATTTTACATTGCTCAATTACAAAATCCATGTCTGATAACTTTGGTATCTTAACCTCTATGGACCTTTCTCTAGGGTTTTATTTTTTCCCCCTGTCTTAGTTTTTTGTTATCTTGGTCTCTTCTCTTGATATACTTGATGGTTTTTAATGAATTTTGGACACTGGTTATGAAAAACCGAGATAATTTTAGGCTACTGATAATGTCATTTTCCTCCATAAAGGATTTACTTTTGCTTCTTATAGGCAGAATCAGAGAGTGAGATGATTTACAGCTTTGTTTGAGACTGTGTAAGGGTTGGTTTATTCCTGCTTCGTTCCCACTTTTTGTTTGTTTGTTTTTGAGAGAGAGAGAGAGAGAGAGAGCACAAGTGGGAGAGAAGGAGACAGAGAACCCCCAGCAGGTTGCATGAGCTGAGCCTGATGCAGAGTTTGATCTCACAACTGTGAGATTGTGACCTGAGCTCAAATCAAGAGCTGGACATTCAACCAACTGAGTCCCCCAGGTGCTGCCTGCTCCCGCCCCCGGTCCCCAATTCCAAGATCTACTCATCAGGGCTCCCAGCTGAAAGTTTTGGATTTTCTAAAATTCTTCCTCATCCTTGGGCCCTGAACTCCAATTTTTGTCTGCTTTGTACCATAAAACTAGCAAAAGCTCTCCACATTTTTACAGCCTCCTGGTTGTAACTTTGTGCTCAGTTCTTCAGTTTCTCAGCACCACCTGTGGGAATACACTAATGCCTTAAAGGGAAAAGCAGTTCTTTTTTTAAAATTTATTTTTTAAAAACTGTTTATTTTTGAGAGAGAGACAGAGCGTGAGAGGAGGAACGGCAAAGAGAGAGGAGCACACAGAATCCAAAGCAAGGTCCAGGCTCTGAGCTGTCAGCACAGAGCCTGAAGCGGGGCTCGAATTCATCTGCGAGATCATGACCTGAGCCGAAGTCAGGTGCTCAACCAACTGAGCCACCCAGGGGCCCTCTTTTTTTTTTTTAATTTAATTTTTAAATTTACATCCAAATTAGTTAGCACACAGTGCAACAGTGATTTCAGGAGTAGGTTCCTTAATGCCTCTTTACCATTTAGCTCAGCCCCCCATGCATAACCTCTCCAGTAACCCTGTTCTCCATATTTAAGAGTCTCTTTGTCCCGCTCCCTGTTTTTATATTATTTTTGCTTCCCTTCCTTTATGTTCATCTGTTTTGTATCTTTTTTTTTTTTTAATTTTTTTAATGTTTATTTCTGAGAGAGAGAGACAGCGTGAGCAGGAGAGGGTCAGAGAGAGAGGGAGACAGAGCATCCGAAGCAGGTTCCAGGCTCTGAGCTAGCTGTCAGCACAGAGCCCAATGCGGGGCTCGAACCCACGAACCGTGAGATCAGGACCTGAGCCAAAGCCGGACGCTCAACCGACTGAGCCACCCAGGTGCCCCTCATCTGTTTTGTATCTTAAAGTCCTCATATGAGTGAAGTCCTATGATATTTCTTTCTCTAATTTCCCTTAGCTTTTTCTAATTTCTCTAGTTCCATCCATATAGTTGCAAATGGCAAGATTTCATTCTTTTTGATGGCCAAGTAATACTCCCTTGTGTGTATGTATGTTATACATATATATGTGGTATATATATATACATATACATATACATATACATATACATACTGCATCTTCTTTATCCATTCATTCATTGATGGACATTTGGGCTCTTTTTATACTTTGGCTATTGTTGATAGTGCTGCTATTAACATTGGGGTGCATGTGTCCCTTTGAAACAGCACACCTGTATCCCTTAGATAAATACCTACTAGTGCAATTGGGTCATAGGGTAGTTCATTTTTAATTTTTTGAGGAACCTCCATACAGATTTCCAGAGGGGCTGGACCAGTTTGCATTCCCACGAGCAGTGCAAAAGGGATCCTCTTTCCCCCACATCCTTGCTAGCATGTGACCCTTGCCAACATCTGTTGTTCCCTGAGTTGTTAATGTTAGCCATTCTCACAGGTGTGAGGTGGTATCTCATTGTGGTTTTGATTTGTATTTCCCTGATGATGAGTGATGTTGAGCATTTTTTCATGTGTTGGTTGGCCATCTGTATGTCTTCTTTGGAGAAGTGTCTGTCATGTCTGGGAAAAGTAGTTCAAATGTCAGGCTTACCTCCTTAGCTTCCCTTCTTTCTGGGACCTATGTCACTCGTGTTCTAAGTGGCTCTTTTTTGGCCTAGTGTTAGCTAGCCTCAGTGAGAGGATTGGTTTGCATCAAGCTATTTAGTCATTGTTGGAATCTTACCTGTATTTGAAAGTGAATATTCAGATATTAAAAAGAGATAGTGTAGCATGCCTTGTTTGCATTACTGTGTCTTGTGCTGGTTATATATTAATCTATGCAGCCACAGCATCTTGTATAATATAGAAGTTCAGAAATGCCAAATATAACACTGAATATGGCAATCAGATATTTGGTCAAGTTTTAAAAATCTACCAGATTTTTAATTTATTCATACATATATGTATACATATATATACACACACATATACTTATAAGTGTGTGTATATATATATATATAAGTATATATATTAGCAAATAGTATTTCTTATTTTCATTCCTTTTCCTCTTTTTCTGTTAGGTGGTTTTATTCTGCTTGATTTGCAAAAGCTCTTTGTACATAAGAGATATTAACCCTTTCCTTATGTGTTATGTGAGCTATAAATGTTTATCACCAGCAAATGTGGTTTGTATGACTGCTACAGTTTTGGATTTATTGAGGTTTTTGGTGGCCTTTTTATATCTCTTTTTAAAAACTAATGTTGCACAGATATTTATAAAGAAAGTACACAGATACAGTCATAATGTATACATGCACATCAATACTCATCTATCCATATACACATATAAAACCTTATTAATTATATCATTTAGATCCTTTATTATCATAATTTTTGAGGGATCAAATTGATTTGCTGATGACTGAGAGTATTAATTTTACCCCTTCTTCTAATAGTGGTGTTCTTGGTTCTTTTGGCCTTGAATTTGATCTTGCCAAATGATCATATTTCCCATGTGTTTTGGAAGTGATGGAGGTAGTATAGGTTCTAATTTTATCTTTGTCTCTTTAATTTTGAATTCTTCACTTCTTTTTTCCTCTTTTAATTTAGGAGAATGGATTCTATGGTTAAGTCACCAGAGAGGTATCACAAAGGAGGAGAAGTATGATATGAATGGGTCGAAATGTGTGGGTCTTCTAGACAAGGGGGAAGGATTGGTAAAGAAAGAGCCTAGGCTGGAACATGAAGTATGTTTGGATTGTGAAAGGAGGCTGACTCGAGCAGAAAGTCTTAAGAAAAAGGAAGCAAACATGGGTTTTTGAGGGAGGATCACCTTTTGGAGAATCCTGAAAGCTCGGGAGAGAAAGATTTCTTCGTGTATAAATTAGATGTTCTTAATGCAGACAATTAAATAAATATGCATTTGCGAAATAAGCCCTGTGTCAAAGCTTACTGTCCAGGATCATCTTTCACACGTGTTTATGCTCATTTCACATGTTCGTTTTCCTTTGTTCCACGAGTGCAGAGCAGTGCACTCAGATTCACATGAATGAATTTTGTGCACCTTCTTCGCATTTTATTTTGCATTTGACATTCTACCCAGGGGAATTTTAGAGTGATGGTTGAGGCTGATAATCTCACCTTAGAGAGACAGTATTAAGTCTGTCATATTGTGGGTAAGTCTAGAACTGTGTTCCTTCAGTTCTGTTCTTCTGCCTGTTCAGCTGCACCTGCTCCCCAAATCATAAGGATCTGTTTCCTTGCATACATTAAGCAGATGAGATGAAAATGTGCTAACTAGGAGTAGATGGCCATGTCTGCAGGCGAACTATTTTTTTTGCCTCTCAAGAAGCATGGAGATGGTGACTTACTGAGAACTGGGTGACACAGTGAATGCTGGTGCCCACATTTTCAAGTGCCCAGATTAGTCTACGGTCTGGAAGCCAGGAACCTTGACTGAATGAGATCACTGAATTCGGGACAGTTAGCTCTTCAGAAATGGCCCTTTTTATTTCAAAGGGGAAATTTGGAGAACTGAGTGTTTTCCTTTGGCTTTTGCATAAAGTTGTTTTGTTTTTTCCATCTCTAGGGGACTCATTCTCACAGTTCCGGTTTGTCGAGGAGAAAGAGTGGGATGGTGAAGTGTCGTGTCCAAAACAGGTAAGATGGTTTGTCTGGAATGTGGATTCGTTCTGCTCAAGGCTGAAGACTAACACCCTTACATTACTGTTGAGATAGGCACTCCTTGTAGAAAAGAGTAGTCATTCATGTACAGTTTAGTCTCTGTTACAGAAACTGTTCAGAAAATGTTTGGGGACCTTAAATTATACCGGTCTTTGAAGCTAGAGTTCACCTTTACACCTGGCCATCCGTGTGAATTCCTCATATAGACTGGGCTGTAAGGTAGTAAGTTTATAGTCATGATTTTGTGTGGATGGCTCTCCCATTGGGCCTTCTTTGCCATTTCTTTTTTTTTTTTTTTTTAATTTTTTTTTTTTATTTATTTCTAGGAGAGAGAGAGAGAGACAGCGTGAGCAGGGGAGGGTCAGAGAGAGAGGGAGTCACTGAAACAGGCTCCAGGCTCTGAGCTGGTAGTCAGCACAGAGCCCGACGCGGGGCTCGAACCCACGAACCGCGAGATCATGACCTAAGCAAAAGTCGGAAGCCCAACCGACTAAGCCACCCAGGCGCCCCTTCTTTGCCATTTCTATGAAACTTCCCTTTAGGGTTGAAAAGCAATTTTCCCCCCTTGTGCTGCTTTTAGTATTAGGTGAAAAAAATCCTTAACTTTATAGCTTTAAATAACTCTGTGTCTATAATTAGGAAAATAAAGCCATGAAATAAGGACAGATATCACAGAAGTCTTTCAGCAAATCCATAAAGCCCAACCATTTCATTTGCTTTGTGATCATGCCATGCTTTCTTCCCGAGGAGTTTCAATTCTTTTCCAGGTGGCATTTGACTGATTCTTTCCATATGAAAGATGACAGGTATTCTTAACCTTGTAAAAAGCACAGAGAATTAGTTGTGGCTTGTCCTTTGCTCCCTGACTCCCTGGCGGGAGCATACTGTCTGATACAATGATTAGACAATCTGCCCACAGCCTCAGGCAGGTGGCTGTATCACGGACCCGAAGCCTAAAGGGTCAGGCACCCTCCTTGCCGTTCTGCTACTAGCTCAGCACACGGATACACTGTAAGTGGTTCATTTTATCTCTGGACTGGTGTGATGTTTACTTGTTTGGGATGGACACTGATTTACCACACAGACCGTGCGGCGGGGGGTGTTACTTGTAAAATGACTGCCTGTCACTTTTACATCAAGTATGGATTACCACATGGAAAAAGTAGGGAATTAAAAATACTTGTCTGCTTGAGGCCATGTGGGCATATGCCTGCGGTACGGTTTAGAATTCTAGGACAAATTGCAGACAGATAAACCAAAGCCATCAAGGAGTACGGCAAAAGGCAGACAATTCACGTTTCAACTCCTTTTGAGCCATGTTGACTCTTAGAGAGTATTTCCGTTATCCTGAGGGTTTCAAATAATCCTAAAGTTCTGCATTCATCAGAACACCGAGAACTTGTTCTTGACCAGAAATGTTATTAGATGCAGCCTGTTCAAAGATAAGTGAGACAGAGGCCATGCCTGTACATTGCCCTTCACACAGTGGTGACCCATAGTAGATGATCAGTAAATATTTACATATTTACTGATATGTATTACATAATACAAATACAAATACAAAATATTACATAATAAGTGAAAAAGAGTGTGACAAAATAAGTGGTGTCTTCAGAGAATGAAGATAATACTGTGGGGACCACTTTGGGCTGGCAGGGATGGAGAGCAGCACCAGGGGAAAGAGATTGTTTGAATGGGCCTGGGTGGGGGCGTATGATATGGGTAGGTATCATCTTCTGCCTTTTTACTTCTAAATGGTCATTTGTAATCATCACCTGATATATGTATATAATTTTTCCTCTGTTGATAGAATTCAGCATTTTATTTGGACTGTGAATCATTGGTCTGTGCCCTTCAAGAACTGCCCCTCTCACTCCGCCTCAATGTTGCTGCTGAATTGGTCCAGGTAAAAACCCCGACAGCATCTTCCAGCCGGTGTGGGTTAGGGCAGCAGAAGAAAAAAGTGAAAAATGTCTCTCTGCAGAATGTCTCCCAGTGAGCTTTTGTTTTCCTAAAGCTGAGGGTTTTGTATCAAGGTAGCATTTTGAAAAGTTTTAAGGGAGGGCGCACCTGGGTGGCTCAGTCAGTTAAGCATCCAACTTCAGCTCAGGTCGTGATCGCCTAGTTCATGGGTTCGAGCCCTGTGTCAGGCTCTGTGCTGACAGCTCAGAGTGTGCAGTCTGTTTTTGATTCTGTGTCTCGTTCTCTGCCCTCCCTATTCTCAAAAATAAACATTAAAAAAATTAAAAGTTTTAAGGGAGAAAGCACTTGAAGGATCAAATGTGATAGAACTGAATGAAACGTTAAAGTATAAAGTCGAGGTGGTATTTTACTCAAAAGTTTCTATGCCAGATTCTTTGTTAGCACTAAGCATACAGTGGTGATCAGACACAGTTCCTGCTCTCGTGGAGCTGAATCTGTTGGGAAACAGGAGTATCAACCACGTGACTCAACTGTAGTAAGTCCTATGAAGGAGAAGCATAGAGCGCTACGAGAATGTATATAATAATGCACCTGATCTACTTCGGTGTGATTAGATATGGCTGAAGAAGTGTGCAATTAGCGGAGATCCAAAGTAGAAGAATGCCGGAGTTGGGATTTTAAGAAGACTGACCCAACCAGATCTGCCTTAGTCATACTGCTAATGATGATAGTTATCAAGGGCCGTTGTGGCTGCAGGATGATGGAGAGTGGACTGTGGGGATAGGGCGAAGTGTTGGGTGAATGTACACAAGCAGGCACGTGGCGGAGGAGAGGGGAGGAGAGGCAGCAAAGCAGGAGGCTCCTGTGCTGGTCCCGTGTGCTGGCGGAGCTGGTACTAGGGTGATGGTGGACATGGCAGAGAGCTTGGCTTTCCCAAGAGGTACTGCAAAAGCAAAACTGTCAGGACTTGGTCAAGCACTGGAAGTGGAGAGTGAGCAAAGAATTGCTCTAGGCTTTCTAGCTTGTGCACCTCAGCAATGTGATCGCATCGGGAGGGGCGAGGTTTGGACGTTATGGGTTTGTGCCTCTGAGATAGCAAAGTGCAAATATTAGTTGGATAGAGGAATTTATAGTGCACAGTTAAGGGCTTGAAATGTAAATGTAGGTGATACCAGTGTGAGACAGCAGTTGAATAATGAACTGAGACGAGGCAGCCCAATGGATGTTACTACAGGAACTTCAAAATGTAACTGTGGCTCGACTGAATTTTTTAAAAAGTGAAAACCCTGAGCAGTACTAACTGTAAATAGAATCCCAGCAACTAACATGATCACCTTCATTCTGTACCTGAATGTGATGCTAAGCTTGAGTGGAGGCATGGATTACCCAAGCAATTGTTTCTGCCCCCAGCTGAGGGCAGCTGGTAGAATTTAGGGCTTGAGGACAGTTAAGGGTAGGGCAGAGGAGTAGAGAGGATGGCATTTGCCCCTAAGGGGGAATGGCTATGGTGCTTTCGGAATGTTTGGGGTTTTCTTACCGATTGGGAAAGCACTGCTCTCCCTGCGGGGTGTCCAGAGATGTTCCAAGTCCCAACATACACAGTTGGGTCCCCCAGAATGGTTGTTAGCATCACACATCAGGGTAACACTGAGATGAAGGTGTGGGGGCCTCGGGGAGAAACAGGAAGCACTGTGAGCGTTTGACAGTGAGGATGTTGTATCAGTGGCAGGCCTTAGAAAATAGGTATAAAGCAATCATAGGAACTTTGAAAACCTGGTTAATGTTTTTAAACCTCACTTTCCCACCCCCATGATATAGAACAGTTTCTCTCAATTGTGTTTGCATATTTGAATTAACCTGGGGAGTTAAAAAAAAAAAAAAAAACCCCAGACACCCAATCCAGAACAAACTCAGTGACTCCAGGATTATAATGAAGGACCACGCCCCAGTTCGGGCTTGCACACTGAGAATGATGGATGACTATTTATGTGTAAAGCTATACGGCTCTGAAAGCCCTGAGAGATCATTAGCAAACTGGATCTGCTCAGGATGCTTAAATACGGGGACAGTGCCTCCAACCATAGTTGAACTGCATTCTCACTCTACCCTGCTGCCATGCTGGTCACCCCACGCCTCCTCCTCGCCCCCCGCCCCAACAGAGCTTCTCTGCCTTAGCCCTTACACTACAGTCACCTGGAGAGTTGACTTCTCTTAAATCATTACAGAAAAGTGCACACATAGGTATGTATAACCATGGAATCTGCATCCAGAGTGAGAATCAGAATATGGCTCACACCCCAGAAGCCACCCCTCCCCCGAGTCACCACTGCCCTAAAACTACTCTCCTGATTCCTGATACTCAAGATTGGCTTTGCCCATTTTTGGACTTTTTACAAATGTAATCAAATAGTACGTTTTCTTTGGTGTCTGGGAGTTTTTAGTCAAATGTTACTAAGAGCCCCTCTTAGCTTGATGAGTTTGTCCCTTCACCTTTCTTATTAGCACGTTTAAGTACAGTGAACAGACCTGATTGGCTAAAGGAGTCTCAGTGCCTTTTACAGATGCTTATGTCCTCACAGATGCAAGTGTACATACATTCACATAGACCTGTGGTACTTCCAGGTCTCTGGGCAGTTCTAGAAAGACATGGCCATTTCAACTCCACGTTAGCACAGAGTGGAGAGGGGCATAGGGGGAGGCCCAGCCCTGTTGTGTTTCAGTGAGGTCTCTCCCACATTTTAGCCCCCATCAGGAAGGAAGGGTGCTGGGCCAGGGCCTGAATAAGAGACCCTCTGTGGCCTTCCTGTCTGGATTGAATTGGCCATTGCACAAAGTTTGGCCTCCTTCATTTTTGTTTCTGCTCAAGCAAATGTGGCAAGACTCAGATTTTTTTCTTTTAAATATTTATTTTTGAGAGCAAGAGAGAGACAGAGTGCAAGTGGGAGAAGGGCGGCAGAGAGAGGAGACACAGAATCTGAAGCAGGCTCCAGGCTCTGAGCCATCAGCACAGAGCCCGACATGGGGCTTGAACTCACAGACCATGAGATCATGACCTGAATTGAAGTTGAATGCTTAACCTACTGAGCCATCCAGGTGCCCCAAGACTCAGATTTTTAACTCCTTCTGCTTCTCTTTCAGACTGCTCTCCCTTTAGAGCTTCCTCAGGTAAAACCAAAGAGAAATGATGAAGGCAAGGGACCAGGGATGCAGTTAAAATGGCCCTTGGGGCCCGGAGGCAAGGGGTCCGTCTCTGAGCTGAAGTCTGTTGCTGCTGGCTGCCCCATGTACCTGGGTAAAGATAGCCCAAACCCGGGCCCCACGAAGGGTTCCCAGGAACCCACGGCCTCACTGCAGTCAGCAGCAGGCCACTTGGAGGAGGAATTAGATCTGCTGCTGAGTTTAGATGCGCCTGTAAAGGAGGGAGAGAACATCTTCCAAGACCAGACGTCTCAGGACCAGGAGTCTGAGAAAGATGGGGACGTGGCCCCAGAAGAAAAAGGTATGGCTTTCATTTGATTCCTTATCCATCTTCTTGACTGTTTTTCTGTAAACAGCCCCACCTGCGTCCCCTGCATACAGCTCTCCATCAGTGTCTGACATTGATCTGCTGTGGTCCGCGGACATCTATGTCTGTGCTCTCATCCCTACTTCCCCCTGAGCTGACCTTTCTGACAATATTCCTCCCACTTGATACACCAGGCTTCCAAAGCTGCTACCTGCCTGACTGCAATATTAAACCCAGGGCTGCAGATTGAACTCGCACTATAAAAAGGTATTAAGATCCTCCTAGTCCTCAGCTGTGCAGCAGCAGACCTTTTAATTGACTATCTGAACAGGCCTGTTAACCAACTCTCCAGACTCCTTGCTATTTCGATCTTCTTTTGTACCAAAGAGCACTCCCTCCCCTTTGTGTGGGCTCTGGGAGCCAGGCCCCATGTGATAGGGAGAGGCCCAGGGCACCTGCTCCATCCACACACTGCATTGGAGAACCTTTGAAGACTTTCCAGGAGTGCTACAACACTAAAAAGAAAACTGAGCTGTTGGTCTTTTTAAAAGAAACTAGTGAACTGTGAAAGTCAACTTCAGAATACCTAGAGGGGCCACTTCCTACCCCACTTATTGTTAGGATATTCTTGTATCTTCTCGAGGAGCTGAACTTCTTGAATAATCGAATGTTTCTCCTTGTTGGAAGCAAATAGTTAGCGCTGACTTCGGTCATGGAACAAGCCCCAGGGAAGCCCTAACCCGCAGTCGGGGGACTGGCATGCACGTGCTAACACTGCTTTCCTTCCCCCAGGTCCCGCAGAGCCCTCTGTGACGGAAGGAAAGAACACGGAACCAGAGCAAGCAAGTACATCAAAAACTGTTACTGAGGAAGAGCTTGAAGACTGGTTGGACAGCATGATTTCCTAACATAAACATGAAAAAAAAAAAAGTGCCTGAATCAAGTTTTGGTTGCCTTGCCAGTAAGGGCAGGCCCCAGGCTATCTTTCCAGAACAGCTGGTTTACGAGTACACCCCACGCCAGTGCGCTCCATCACGCTTGCCGCAGGATAGCCTACCTCTACGTTCCGCAACATCCGAGACTGTACCTTTAAGAGGCTCCTTGCATTTGTTCTCTGGCTTAGTGATCTAACAGATCCCTTAAGGGCAGGGGATAGTAGGGCTCTTGTTTCCAGCCTCCTTCCTTTCAGTGTTTACGGCAAAGCAGGTGGTGCTGATAGAATAGACCCAAGCAACAAGGCATGCCATTGGCCAAAATAAATGAACACTGGTGTATGGACTTCCTTTCTTTGTTGGGTGAGGTTTTATAACATTTGTGTCCTGTCCTTTACAGCCCCACTGGGACAACTGGGAAAGAGTCAGCCGGAAAGGTGCAACACAGGAGGCCAACGCCAGGGAGTGGGGTGTATTACTTTATTGCAGTGGGCACTTCCTTTTATGTAAGGAGATTCACCTAAACACAGCAGCTCCACTACTTACAAGGGGACCAGAAAGCAGTACTCAATTTGGCATAAGATTGAACTTCTTCTGAATTTTCAGTACAGTACTTCTAATAACAGCAGTTGACAAGCTGTTACTGAAAAACAAAACTTTATGAATAACCTTCAAGTGCAGTTTCGTAAAGACGGAAGATCAACACAACTAATTAATGGAACTGTGTCCGTCTGGAACATAAACATAAAAAATTTGCATAGCTATATCTAAAGAGATTTTAAGGCACTTAATCGATATTTCAGTGTCGACAAAGTGTGTTTTTTTTTTTTTCCTATTTCTTTAACTGCTTAAAGCTTTTCAAGCTGATTCTGAATACATTCACCAGCAAGTACCATGGGAGAAATTTGCAGTTAAGATGTTTTTCTATAGTTCAGATCATGAGTCACTAGTGGATCCTGTCATGTGACATTCAAGTGTGTAAAATTTTAGATATTGTGCATCGACGACTTCATATTTCTAGTCCTTTCCTCAATGAATGCCATTGCGACAGACTAGTTCCATTACAACTGAAAAACTTGAAGGTATTTAACTATAGATTCCTGGATTCTTTGCTGTCTTTTAACATTCGGAGAGGTTGTCTCCCACAGGGCTGTGTCCATTAGGCACAAAAAGCCAAATCAATTCCATGATATCCCATAGTTTTAACAAAGACTGTCTCGTAAGGGAGGCATTTAGAATATGTCACACTTCAAATATTTTGCAGAACTGTAAAAAGATTTATTTCACTGAAGTTGGCCGTCCAGAACTGTGGAGTTTCTCTCTGATTTATCCAAGCTGATCTTCATATTGTTTCCGAAAGCAGTCACCAGCCGGGAAGAAATCCCAGCACCTTTCTTGGTACATTTTCCAGACATAAGATTCCTGAAATAATGGGAACAAAGGGTACTTCTTTTGAAACCACAGTAAGCTAAAACCCAGGTTTTTACTTTGCAGGTCTCCCTTTGGGAATGGTGAGGGAGTTTTAGTTAGTTATAGGAGGCCCAACTAGAACCTTCTTCCTTGCTCTGTTCCCAGCCCAGGCTATTTTGAGAGCAGAATGTCCTCCCCCCCCTCCCCCCACCTCAAAACACTGGTCACCAAGCAATGATTTACAGTAAAAACACTTAAAGATTTAGAAATAAGCCGATTCTATGCCATTGGTAGAAGGCAGAAGAATGCACAGTGAGGGGACAGTTACCAGTGCTAGCCCAGGTAGATGCCTGGAGCACTGAAGGCAGAGCTAGAACCAGCTGCCTCTCAAGTGTGTGAGCTGTGAAGTTTTCCTACAACTCTGAGGATGTTTGAATATTTGATAGCCTATCATCTTCTCTTCCCTAGTTCTCTATCTTTGCATTTCTTCTACTTAGAGCCCCTTTTGACACATACTTTCACTCATACTACTCACACCTCCACATTCCCTGTGTCACCCACACATGAGGTGGTTATCTTTCTCAGGCTGTCTCTCAGCCCATTTTACTCTTTGTTAAGCCGCCCACTCAGCTCCTCCTCGTCTTTTTCTCTGTAACGTTCTCCCCACCTCCACCTATTCTACTGTGAAGCAGTAACCATAAGGATTTAGAAAATGTCAGTGTTAGCTGGGAAGGATAACCAGAAAGTCTTTAGGAATAGACTGGGGTTGCTTAATGATGGAGGCTTCTAAGGTCCCAAAAAGATGGCGGAATAACACAGAGGAAAACTGCATGTGAGACATAAAGGGAGGCACTGGTCTGCCTCAGACCTCTGATGCTCTAGTGAGTCTCAAGACTTCTGAAAAGGAAACTCTTAATATAGGGCTATGGTTCTTTTTTTTTTTAAATCAAAAAATTATTTCTTTTGTTAACCTCAGGGCATTTTCTTTTTGTTGTTATTACAAAAGCAAGTGAAATCATGACTGAAAGTTACAAAATGTAGCCAAACAAAACCGACACCCATAACCCACCATCCAGAGGACAAGCATGGCTAACCCTTCTGTGACAAGACTCAGACCATTTCCCTCACTGGCTATGAGTTCATGTAGTCATGGGAAGAGTGGTGTTTTGTCACATATGTTTTCTAATGTACTGTATTTACTCAATCTAATTCAAAGTGCAGAAAACTCTAGACTGCAGGGCTATGATTTAGGATACTTTATTTCTCACCTGACCCGTGTGTTCTGTTTCATCTTTGTTAATCAGATACATCAGGAAGAACCTGGAACAAGGGAAAAAAGGTATAGTAAGTGTGAAAAAGACATTACTTTGGTTACTCTTTTTGTGAGGGGAAAGTCTTTTGTTCCGAACCTTGAGCTAAGATGATGATCTTTTTAAAAAATCCTAAACCATAAAATGGTGACCAAAACTCCAAAACTGTTAATAGGCAAATGGAGAACTGAAATTATGTGTGTGTGTCTCGGTCATGGAAAAGGTGCAAAGTATTTAAGTTGCTGTGACTCTTCAGAAATAGTTTCTTTGTATTATGGATATGGGAGAAATGTCCGTGTAGTCTCACTTGTTCTAACGGGGCCGGGTCCAAGGTTTCAGTCTGCTTGTCTGGAACACTCAGGTATCCATGGAGGCTGGGGCCGATCCTTCAGCTCTCAGTGCATGATCTCAGAGATGGCTTCCCAGTGAGCTGGTCTCTTGCCCTCCAAGCATAGAACTGTGACGTAGTTGGAGGTGGGGAGAACCCGAGCCCCAGACTTCACCTTCTCTCGGGGCATCCTCAGGTTTATAGCTTTAGAAGCTATAAATAGATTTGGTTTCTTCCTCCCTTTTCCTTGATTGGACTAAGAAAGCATGGCCAATATCTTGACGTTCGAGACTTGGGCACGTAAGGGGATTACTCCTTTCCTAGCACATTTCTTTGACAAAGCACTGTTTTTAGGGGGGAGTTTCAAACATGAATAAGGTGGACTCTCTCAAGCTTGCTGCCTGAGCTGCATGGAGCCAGAAGGGAGACTATTATAGTACATAGTGATCTGGGAAGACGTAGACATGGACAGCACCATTTCACATTTTTCTATTCATGGGTCCTGACAAGTGCTCCCCTTTTATAGAAAGACATCCATCCCACTCACCTCCATTAAGACTAAAATTCTCTTACTGAAAATTAACCATCATGAATACTCAGGACTTGAGGACGAGTATGCTAAAGCTTTTTTTTCAGTTTTTGTTCCTTTTAGGATTTCTTAAACTTGTGTTTTTTTCTTAAACTCCCATCCTAGCAAAAAGATAGGTCTTTGGTACTTCTCTTTGACAGTAACACCTTTCCCAAAGGCTAGGCCTGTTCCATCCTAAAGAAAGATTCATTTTTCCTAAACAATAAAATGTAGACCCAGAGGGGAAGAGGTAGGCCAGGGAGCCGGTTTTTTTCTTTTCTTGAAAATGACCACATAGCGATTTGGTATTGTCAGGTAATCTATATTCTCCATAAGGTATAGGCTTTGTAGGTGGGCCATAGCACATAACAGGCTCTGAATAACTTGCTTTTAAGTGAATGCTCTACCTCAGAACCAGTAAATACTTACTGGAGCTACCTGGGTGCCAGGCTCTAGGCACTGGGACAGAGCAGTAGGAAACACCCACAAGTATCCCAAGCTCATGGAGTTCGTATGTTCAATGAGAGGGCAGAGGGGCAGGGTGAGGCCTGCAAACTGCCCATGGAATCCAGCCACACGCAGGGCGCCCACCGCCCTGACAGAGGCACGTGTGGCCTGGTGGGGAGCAAGGCCTGACCAGAATGGGCTCACTGGAAAATGGGAAGAGAAAAAGTGGAGGTGGTAAACATAGACACTTTACGTTTTGCTGAAAGCGAGAGAAAGAAGCAGGGTGATAATGGCCAGGAGTAAAAGTGGGACTGTGGCCATTTTTCTTTTAGGATTTTCAAAAAGAACACGTGTATGGTGATAGGAAAAGTCCAGGAGAGAAAGAGAAATTGCTGTAGTTATAGTGCCTTAAGAAGGGATGGGGTCTGATCCCGGGGGGAGTGGCTGACCTTTGCTACCAGCAGGAATGGCCCACAGCACCCGTTCATCACCAGCGGGGAGAGGCAGAGAATAGGGACAAAGATGCAGGCTCTTGGGGGCTCCTGGAAATTTTTTCCAAATCCCGCCTCTACTTTTTCAGAGGAGTAGGCAGAAATGGCACCCACAGAGGTGATATTTAGGATTTTACCCTGCCACTCCTTCCCCCCCGGCCACTGTCCCCTCCGTTGAGCAAGGGTACTCACAAGTAGTTGGCTAAGTTGTGCTCTTGTAAGGTGTGTGTTTCAAAGCCATGAGGGATCGTGTCAAAGTAGTCATTGCCAATTCCGCAGATGAAACATTTAGTCTAAGAAGAGAATGAGTAAAGGCATTAGCACGTGCGTCATTACAAGCAGACGATCTCTGACTGAATTGAGAGACAATGAACAACACTTCTCTCCTTAATGTGTTGGGCTATTAGTCATCCGCTTCCCAGTGTCCCCTACCTAGCTCCTTGCTAGCTTAGGATGCTTGCTCTTGCCCAACCGGGGGATGTGGTGGAGGTGCCAGGGATGGATAGGGTAGGGTGCAGAGCAAGGAGGGCAGCACAGAAGAAATGTCCAGAGCTGGCAGGCAGGTGCAGGGAACAGGGTGGGGATGGCAAAGAAAACTTTGTTGGTAGTGATAGCCTAAGACTGACCCGTAATGATAGCAGACCCTTTTATTTAAAAAATCCATTTGCGGGACAGCTGGGTGGCTCAGTCAGTTGAGCGTCTGGCTTTGGCTCCGGTCATGATCTCGCGGTTCGTGAGTTCAAGTCCCACATCGGTCTCACTGCTGTCAGCTCAGAGCCCACTTTGGATCCTCTGTC